GATAAAGGCATCCAGGCCTCAGCCTCTCCAATTATTGCAGCTCTACTGAACGATCAATTAAAATAGAGAATTACAGTCAGATGAATCGATAAGGAAGATAAGTGAGAGTTGCAACCCTTAAATCACTTGTTGACTTGGATCAAATATCTTAATGTTTTTATTTGTTTCAGACTCAATTCTACAATAAAATCACGTAAATCTTAATGTTCTTTAATCAGAATAAATGCTTCTCTTTCAAACAATAACATCATGTTCATATTTTCTGTTCAGGGCACAAAAGTCAAACAATTATTCAGCTTTAATCCTCTTAAAAAATGCATTTCCAGGAACATTTCACCCTGCAGTGTTGACGTAGACATGGAGGGATTTTTTATTTCCAGGAACATTTACATGTTGGTTATTAATAACAACTGAAGCTGCTTTTACAACAGAGAACCACTTCCTCTCAGGTTCAAATCCACCTGGGAGAAAAGCCTAACCCTCTGTGTGACACAAATAACAGCCGAGTGTGTGTGTGTATGTGTGTGTGTGTGTGTGTGTGTGTGTGTGTGTGCGTGTGTGTGTGTGTGTGTGTGTGTGTGTGTGTGTGTGTGTGTGTGTGTGTGTGTGTGTGTGTGTGTGAGGGGGGGCGAGAGGGGGAGACTGCCATTGTGTGAGAATGTGAATTAGGTCAAATGTTTGCTCGCAACAACGATTAACCGTGGCCTGTGAGGAGGGAGCTGAGGGTGTGTGTGTGTGTGTGTGTGTGTGTGTCCATCTATGTTGAATATATATGAATGAAGGTAGTGTGTGTGTCCATAAACGTTGTGTGTGTGTCCATAAACGTTGTGTATGTGTGTGTGTGTGTGTGTGTGTGTGTGTGTGTGTGTGTGTGTGTGTGTGTGTGTGTGTGTGTGTGGTGTGTGTGTGTGTGTGTGTGTGTGTGTGTGTGTGTGTGTGTGTGTGTGTGTGTGTGTGTGTGTGTGTGTGTGTGTGTGAGATGATGGCTGCCTCTGGGATCTGACACCTCAAACTGCAGAGCTGCTGCTGACAACAGGTCACACACACAAAATGAAGCCTGGGGAAGCATGCAGAGGAGTAAAGTGTGTGTGTGTGTGTGTGTGTGTGTGTGTGTGTGTGTGTGTGTGTGTGTGTGTGTGTGTGTGGGTGTGTGTGTGTGTGTGCAGGTGTGTGTGTGTGTGTGTGCAGGTGTAGAAAGGAAGAAGATGATACGGTGGGCTTTTTTTTTGTCCTGATTCTTCCTCCTCTGATCATCAAAGCGTTTAATTTGCAGATCAAAGTGAGGATCTCCCTGAGGTCAGCTCACAACTACCACGACAACCTCCCCCCCTCACACACACACACACACACACACCCTCACACACACCCACCCCCCTATTTATGAGGGGGGGGGGAGTCTAACGTTAATTATCTTTATGCATCTGCAGGAATATGGCACGATGAGGCTTCCTCTCCTCAGATCACAGGGAAGTTCTCTGATCAATGCATGCATGTTTCATTATTTAAGGCTCAGGGGAAGGGGCTTTCAATGATTGGGGGGGGGCTTTAAATCAGAGAAAGGCAATGCAGTAAGACCAGATGTGGGGGGGGGGGCACAAAGAGACCCAGAGAAACAGGCGCTGTGCAAAATTCCTGCAGGAATACAGCATGATGTGCAGCTTATCGACATGGATCTAGCCACATATGAATGGACCCCCCCCCCACCCCCCCCCCCCCTCCTGTCACATTGCGCCATGCACCCCCCCCCCCTTGTACTCACTCAGATTTGGGGAGGCGCAGCATCCTTCATCTTCCTCGGACCCTGAACATCATCATCAATCAGAAAGAAAGGCGAGAACGTGTCCTCCTCACGAGACGCATCGTTTTAAAGCTGTGCGCCCCTGTCCGCGCGCCTCTGCCCCCCCCCCTGCCCCCAGCTGCAGGGTCGCGTGTCCCGGGTGTCCCCCCCCCCCTCTGTGAGGCTCTGTTCCCCGGGTTAGTCTCCAGGTATCTCCCGGTATCTCCAGTACTCTCCGGTTTATCTCCTCCGCGTTCCCTCAGCCCCTTCCATCCGCTCAGCCTCCCCTCTGCTCGGCTGCTGTGTTTCCATGTGACTCAGGCAGAGACCCCCCCCTCACCATTTATATTCTGACTCCAGCGCCACCCCTCGGACGGTGAGGAAGTGAGGCTGTGTCTAATGAGATTGATCAGTTTATGAAGGGGCACGAGGAGGCTGTGGGGCTAATGCACTGAACACACCTTATTCTGCAATAACAACTATAATAATAATTAACCCTAAACAATTCTGAACCCTGTGAACCATTGGATGTATGCCATGAAACAAATTAAATTAATAATAATAATATCAAATGTTTAAATATTGCCAATAAAAATAAACAAATGAAAGAATATACATTATTGATATTAATACTGTATGAAATAAATAAGTGAATGTATTCAAACACGAGTCAATAGATCAAAAGTTTAAATCATTATTACCGTTATTATTTACAATCGTTGGTTTGTAGTTTGTATTGTTATTATTATTATTATTATTAGTTATAATGTATGAAATAATATCTTTTGAGCAAATTGCATGTATTTAATGTGTTAAAAAAATACATTCAACATTTTAATCATTATTATTATTGTACTATTTTTGTTTTTATTATTGTTGTTATTATTAAATGTTCAAACTATATCTGAATACAAATTAAAAGGCTGAATACAAAATAAATACAATAAACATATGAATGCATTTTATAGAAATTATAAAAAATGACATCCATCATAAAGTCTGAAATGTTTTCTCATTCATCTCCAATATTTAAACTTGAAATGCTTTAAAAAGAAACAAAACAGTTATTGTGTTACTCTTAATGCTGTAACACCGCCCCCTGCTGGATGATGAGAGCAGTGCAGGGCAGCTGCAGCAGCCAATCAGAGCGCAGCAGTGGTGTTGCTGTATGAGGGTCGATCAGTGCCACTGAGGGAGCATACAGGTGTTTAGGGCGGGGAGAGACCCTTACCTTAAAATGTACTCAAACTCTCTTCTTACAACCCTAACGATTTTGTACCAAACTAATCAAACTATCTAACCATTAAATTATAGCCTTTTTAATTAATGTTTATGAATAATTGGTCAAAGTATAACAATAACACATTTCTTAGGGGTGAGTTTGAGCTTTTAACAAGTATTTTTTGCCAAGTAGGTTTAAAAACATATTGGCTCTTTCTCATTTCACAAATTTCCCCTCCTCGACTCCTCCGCTCGCATCTCCTGTGGGCGGGGCTTACCCCTCGATTCCACCGGGTCCGTCTGCGTCACGTCACGGCCGCGCCGTGGTTTTGGTCCGGCCTCCTCCGGCGTCATACCCTACCGGGCGCGTTTCAGGAGCGTTTCAGAGCCATTTCAGAAGCGGAGCGTCTTGCGTGCCGGCTCGCAGTTCTTTTTGATTTGGGCATATTTCCTGGACATTTGTACTTCTACAAGAAAGTAAGAAGGCTACGTAGTTAAATGGTTTATTTCGTGTTTATTGTTGTTATTTCTTATTTTGTTGTGTTGTAGACTACAGACATAGTTAATAATAATTATAATAGTAATAATTGCGGCGCAGACGGACCCGGTGGAATCGAGGGGTTAGACACGAGGATAGGAGTCGAGGAGGGGAATTATTGAAATGGGAAAGGGCCTTTGTTTATTTAGAATGCAGGGTTGTTGGTTGTTCCTCGAGTCTCTAAAAGTACAATGGGAGCCAGAGCCTTTTCTTATCAAGCTCCACATTTGTGGAATCAGCTTCCAGTTTGTGTTCGGGCGGCAGACACCCTATCCGTTTTTAAGAGTGCGCTTAAGACCTTCCTTTTTGATAAAGCTTATAGTTAGGGCTGATTAGATTCAGCCCCTAGTTTTGCTGATATAGGCTTAGTTTGTCGGGGGACATCTTACTTCTTCCTTCTCTCTGTCTATACCTGTGTACTCTCATGTTCCGATTAACCCAGCTTCCCCAAATGTCTTTTTGGTGTCTATATACGCCGGGATCCGGAGTCATGGATGATCCTGAGTCCTGAGTCCTGATCTGAGTCCTGGACTTCGAGTCGTGGCTGAACCTGTCTCTGCGGTCCTGCCTGGGTCTCATCATACTACTTCCCTGATGTGTCCCACAGGATTGTTGACATCCTCGTGGATTCATCTTCCTATTATACACACATGCATTTCCAAACATTTGGACTATGTTGCAAATGTATTATCTTTTCGATTTACACACGGCATCTATTGCACGTCTGTCCGTCCTGGGAGAGGGATCCCTCCTCTGTTGCTCTCCCTGAGCTTTCTCCCATGTTTCCCTTTAAACTGTGGGTTTTCTCTGGAAGTGTTTCCTTGTACGATGTGAGGGTCTAAGGACAGAGGGTCTATGGACAGAGGGTCTAAGGACAGAGGGTCTAAGGACAGGGGGTCTAAGGACAGAGGGTGTCGTATTGTCATACTGATATTCTGTACAAACTGTGAAGTCCACTGAGTCAAATGTAACATTTGTGATATTGGGCTATATAAATAAACATTGATTGATTTATTTATTTAAAGAGGCATTTGTTTGTTACTGAAGTGGCATTTTTTACTGTTATTTTAAAAAAAAATCATTATTATTCAAAAGTATTTCTATTTTTTAAATACATTATTCCTTGTTATTTATAGGATTTGTATTTATTACATTTTATTAAAATATTATTTTACCAGAAGTAAAGTCCTGTTTTTATTTGTTTTATTTGTTTTATTTGCTTATTATTTATAATTATTTATCTCATCATTTGAACCTATATTTTTTCAGAGCATCTGTTACATCTATAAATATACAATAATATAATTCAGAATTATTAAATATATATGAATGCCAGCCATAAACTGCATGTATAATGTTATTTGGCTGAATAAAAAATGAGATGAATGAAGCTGCCCCTTGGCTCTCCCCCCTTTGTGGCACTGCTCTCCTTCCATACACCCCTCCCCCCAGCAGCAGATCCGTGTTTTCCTCTGAGGTGCACTGTGCGTCCGGAGAAAGATGGACCTGAAACCTCACTGGGTTTACGCTTCAGTTTGAGCATCTTTTTAAAAATCACTTTAGTTATCTTCTTCTTCTTCATCATCATCATCATCAGAGAGGAATATGGGCTGCTGCTCTGCTCGCTGCACGCTGATCCTGCTCTGCTGTCTGCAGCTGGTAAGAGCTCATCATATGAACACAGAAACGCATCTGATTTTAACCTCTGGTGATGCTTATAGGCAAACAAACAACTCATACTAAGAAAAACTCACTTTAAATCACAAGTAAAGCTACATTTTATTGCAATAATTAGCTGAAAAGACGTGTTGTTTATTACAAAAATAAATTAGTTTTTTAGTAACCTTACATTTAGACTTTAGGTTGCTATATTTACTAATGTATAACAACAAAACATGTTGAAACACATGTTTTGTTGTTATATTTGATGACCTTCCCTTCACATTGTCACTGTTTACTCATCAAACTCAAATGAAACCTCAGTCAGATGTGTTTCCTGATTCTTAAAGGGGCTTTTTTTCAGCTTTTCTGTTGTATGAATTGCATCGACTGGTTTCACCCTGTGGTTAAGTCAAACATGTCATTAGAAGCCCATGCCTTAAGCTCTGAGATCGTGTTATTCCGATATCTGATAAACCAAACAGTCATCAGATGAATGGAGACTGAACATATTTTAGTTGCAGCTTTTATATTTTGAGTGAAAAGTAAGCCTGGTGTAGTTGGAGGTGATATGTAAAGCAGTGACCGCCCACTATAGGCTCCACAATGAAGGGGCTGCACCCTCCTCCTCCTTCTCCTCCTTCTGTGTGTTTCCCACCCTGCCCCCCCCTCTTCATCACTCACTGGGATCAGAGGACTTTAGGGTCTGTCTTTGTCCCCCATGGCAAACTGTAGGAATCAAAAATACAACCTATTGGGATGCACAAGTGAAGGGAAATCTCAAATGTTCCTGTGGGGGGATTTACGACCTCTGCTGCTTTCAACACGCTCTGTTGTGCTGGACCCTCGATACGGAAATAAAAACCTTTAACGGGGAAACAACAAGCATGGCGGCCATTGATTGATAGCCTGGTAGAGGCTCAAAGTGTCAGGGGTCTCCACGGCCTTCAGCTACAAAATGTCACTCAAAGAGAGACAGGTACCGACCAGGAAGAGGCTCAACATGATCATTAAACGACCAGAGACGGATAGAAATGATGACAACATGACAGACAGAGATGCAAAATAGGAGCAAAGAAACACAACGTGACCAAAAACTGATAGGAAAAGACCCAAACTGTACACGATATGACCACTAACAACCTCAAAGAACTATTAAAGAAGGAAAAACGGCTGATAGGTGACAAAAAGACACCAAATTACAAAAATATGACCTCAAATATGCACGGAAGGACCAAAAAGGGACATAAAACAAATACAGAGACAGCAAATGACTACAATGTGACACAAATACATTGAAATACGCTAAAACAGCTGCAAATAAACACAACATGACCAGAAAATGACACACATTTACCACTAAATGAATAAAAATACTATAAGAGACAGCAAGAAAGCTGAAAGAGACATAAAAAACAAATAAAGCAACACACAGCGAGCGTAAAGCCATGAAAATGTATTTAAAGAGAAAAATAACAAAAAATTAGCAAAACCGCTGCAATGAGACGTTAAAATAGGGTGAAATTAGCCTCAAAATGACCTTTAAGAGACACAACATGACGACAACGACGCATAGAAGGACCAGAAAGGAACACTAAAGGGACATTTAAATAGTCCAAACATATGCAAATCAACACAACATGACCAAGAAATGACACAAATGTACCTCTAAAAACCTGAAACCACTAGAAAATACAGAAACACATCTGAAAACATAAAACGACTTGAAAAGAGAGCAGAACCACTGACACATAAACACTGGTGATTAAACCACAATATGACCACAAAGAGACTTCATATGACCACGAGGATGCACAGAATTTAGTACATGTTTCTGGTATCAGTACTTTACTCCATTACTTATTTTTCTGACGACTTTTTACTTTGACTTCTTACATCTTGAACTCAAATACCTGTACTTTCTACTTCTTACATGTTGAAACACAATACCTGTACTTCACTTCTCACATGTTGAACACAAATACCTGTACTTTCTACTTCTTACATGTTGAACTCAAATACCTGTACTTTCTACTTCTTACACTTTGAACACAAATACCTGTACTTTCTACTTCTTACATGTTGAACACAAATACCTGTACTTTCTACTTCGTACATGTTGAACTCAAATACCTGTACTTTCTACTTCGTACATGTTGAACTCAAATACCTGTACTTTCTACTTCGTACATGTTGAACTCAAATACCTGTACTTTCTACTTCTTACATGTTGAACTCAAATACCTGTACTTTCTACTTCTTATATGTTGAACCCAAATACCTGTACTTTCTACTTCTCACATGTTGAACTCAAATACCTGTACTTTCTACTTCTTACATGTTGAACTCAAATACCTGTACTTTCTACTTCTTACATGTTGAACTCAAATACCTGTACTTTCTACTTCTTACATGTTGAACCCAAATACCTGAACTTTCTACTTCTTACATGTTGAACTCAAATACCTGTACTTTCTACTTCTTACATGTTGAACTCAAATACCTGTACTTTCTACTTCTTACATGTTGAACCCAAATACCTGAACTTTCTACTTCTTACATGTTGAACTCAAATACCTGTACTTTCTACTTCTTACATGTTGAACCCAAATACCTGTACTTTCTACTTCTCTCATGTTGAACACAAATACCTGTACTTTCTACTTCTTACATGTTGAACCCAAATACCTGTACTTTCTACTTCTTACATGTTGAACCCAAATACCTGTACTTTCTACTTCTTACATTTTGAACTCAAATACCTGTACTTTCTACTTCTTACATGTTGAACTCAAATACCTGTACTTTCTACTTCTTACATGTTGAACACAAATACCTGTACTTTCTACTTCTTACATGTTGAACACAAATACCTGTACTTTCTACTTCTTACATGTTGAACTCAAATACCTGTACTTTCTACTTCTTACATGTTGAACTCAAATACCTGTACTTTCTACTTCTTACATGTTGAACACAAGTACCTGTACTTTCTACTTCTTACATGTTGAACCCAAATACCTGTACTTTCTACTTCTTACATGTTGAACACAAATACCTGTACTTTCTACTTCTTACATGTTGAACTCAAATACCTGTACTTTCTACTTCTTACATGTTGAACTCAAATACCTGTACTTTCTACTTCTTACATGTTGAACTCAAATACCTGTATCTTTCTACTTCTTACATGTTGAACACAAATACCTGTACTTTCTACTTCTTACATGTTGAACTCAAATACCTGTACTTTCTACTTCTTACATGTTGAACACAAGTACCTGTACTTTCTACTTCTTCTTACATGTTGAACCCAAATACCTGTACTTTCTACTTCTTACATGTTGAACACAAATACCTGTACTTTCTACTTCTTACATGTTGAACTCAAATACCTGTATTTCTACTTCTTACATGTTGAACTCAAATACCTGTACTTTCTACTTCTTACATGTTGAACTCAAATACCTGTACTTTCTACTTCTTACATGTTGAACTCAAATACCTGTACTTTCTACTTCTCACATGTTGAACTCAAATACCTGTACTTTCTACTTCTTACATGTTGAACTCAAATACCTGTACTTTCTACTTCTTACATGTTGAACTCAAATACCTGTACTTTCTACTTCTCACATGTTGAACTCAAATACCTGTACTTTCTACTTCTCTCATTTTCCAAACAGCTGGTTCCTTTAGTCTGAATGTGTGTTTGATGCGTGATCATTATTATTTAGAGTCATTGCGTGCCTATTGATTTGAACACGATCCGTGTATCCATCATTTCCTGGTCTTCTCTAAAGAAGAGGGACCAATGGAAACGTTGTCATGTTGCCGTTGTTCAGCATGGAAACATTCATTAGCTAACAATGACATTATTGTTCTATTAATATAAAGGGAGGTCAGGTACTCTTTAAAACAGCTGCTAGTTATGGGTACTTTTTACTGAAGTACATTTCAAAGCCTCTTTACTTTGACTTGAGTAAAGAAGTTTAGTCAGTACTTCTACTTTCACCAGAGTATTTTTAAACACCAGTATCTGTACTTCTACTTGAGTAAAGGATGTACTTTTGCCATCTCTGGTCCTGTCAAAAATTCCCCCCTAACTTTTGTCAAGAAGCAAATAAACAAATTATTGTACTGCCTTAATAACAGAAGTTACAACACAGGTGTCTGATAATCCCTCTTTGATCAGTCTCTCCTGTTATAGAGTGAATATTTGTATACATCTATTTTATTATTATAGGTCTCGGCTGTGGAGCGCCAGCTGTTTGACTTCCTGGGTTTCCAATGGGCTTCAATCCTGATCAACTTCCTGCAGATACTGGTCGTAGTCCTGGGACTTTTTGGAGCTGTTCAGTACAAAAAACGCCTCATCATCATGGTGAGACATCAGCAGGAGAGGACTCTTTAAAGTAGAGACACTACATACTGATATACACCTGAAAATCTGCAGGAGAGGACTCTTTAAAGTAGAGACACTACATACTGATATAAACCTGAACATCAGCAGCAGAGGACTCTTTAAAGTAGAGACACTACATACTGATATAAACCTGAACATCAGCAGCAGAGGACTCTTTAAAGTAGAGACACTACATACTGATATAAACCTGAACATCAGCAGCAGAGGACTCTTTAAAGTAGAGACACTACATACTGATATACACCTGAACATCAGCAGGAGAGGACTCTTTAAAGTAGAGACACTACATACTGATATACACCTGAACATCAGCAGGAGAGGACTCTTTAAAGTAGAGACACTACATACTGATATCCACCTGAACATCAGCAGGAGAGGACTCTTTAAAGTAGAGACACTACATACTGATATACACCTGAACATCAGCAGGAGAGGACTTTTTAAAGTAGAGACACTACATACTGATATACACCTGAACATCAGCAGGAGAGGACTCTTTAAAGTAGAGACACTACATACTGATATACACCTGAACATCAGCAGGAGAGGACTATTTAAAGTAGAGACACTACATACTGATATACACCTGAACATCAGCAGGAGAGGACTCTTTAAAGTAGAGACACTACATACTGATATACACCTGAACATCAGCAGGAGAGGACTTTTTAAAGTAGAGACACTACACACTGATATACACCTGAACATCAGCAGGAGAGGACTATTTAAAGTAGAGACACTACATACTGATATACACCTGAACATCAGCAGGAGAGGACTCTTTAAAGTAGAGACACTACATACTGATATACACCTGAACATCAGCAGGAGAGGACTCTTTAAAGTAGAGACACTACATACTGATATCCACCTGAACATCAGCAGGAGAGGACTCTTTAAAGTAGAGACACTACATACTGATATACACCTGAACATCAGCAGGAGAGGACTTTTTAAAGTAGAGACACTACATACTGATATACACCTGAACATCAGCAGGAGAGGACTCTTTAAAGTAGAGACACTACATACTGATATACACCTGAACATCAGCAGGAGGGGACTCTTTAAAGTAGAGACACTACATACTGATATACACCTGAACATCAGCAGGAGAGGACTCTTTAAAGTAGAGACACTACATACTGATATACACCTGAACATCAGCAGGAGAGGACTCTTTAAAGTAGAGACACTACATACTGATATACACCTGAACATCAGCAGGAGAGGACTCTTTAAAGTAGAGACACTGACCACCTGAATACTGATTTCCTGACCCCTCTCCTCTTTTTTCTCCCCAGTACTTGCTGTGGCTGCTGCTGTGGGGGGGCTGGAATGTGTTCGTCAGCTGTTTGTACCTGGAGGTTGGCGGGCTCTCCGTGGTGAGTTCATGGTCCATTAGTGTCGGTTAATTAGAGACTCTGCAGCTTCACATCCTGAACACAGAGCTGCTCTCAGGAACTGCAGTGACATGATCACAGCTTTTATTCGAAGTGCTTTTCTGTGACTCAAAGTCGCTTTACAATAAGGGAGGGTTGGGGTGAGGTGAGGTTTATTTATAAAGCACATTTTCAGACACAGAGGCAATTCAAATTCAAATCATCATTAACACTTAATAAGAAGACAACAGAAAGGAACACAATAAATAATCATAATGTAATAACAGATTCAGAAAAACCATGCATCAAAGAGATAGTTTAAAAACAACGTGGTAAATACAGTAGGTGCTAAAAACAAGTTATAAGACTTCTGGGTAAGCAGCTGGAAAAAGTCATGTGTTTAGCCTCGACTTAAAATAACTCAGCGCTGGTGAAGACCTCAGCATTTTGAGGCGAATCTGAGGGACTGTGGGGGTTGGTAGGGTAGGGGGTGAGAAAGTCTATTGGACGGATTATGAATACAAAAAAGGCAACAAAGGTAACCCCCCCCCCCCCTGGATATATCTGAGACCTGTGATATATTGATGAGAATCAGTATGAGGGGACCTTTAAGTTATGTACAGGAGGAATCAACATGTCTTCTTCACACCGTTTCTCCCCCTGTTGTGTCTGCAGGAAAGTGACGTCCTCTCTCTGGGAGTTTCCTCTCATCGATCCTGGTGGAAGGACCACGGGCCGGGCTGTGAGGGGGGGGATCCTCCCTCCGCTGGGTGGCAGAAAACCCCAAATAACCATCAGAACCATCAGAACCATCAGAACCATCAGGACCAGCAGAACCACCTGGAGCTGGGCTGCTGGCTGCGGCACCAGAACATCGAGGTTCTGCACTGCGTCCTGCAGCTCGTCCTCGCTGTGAGTTAAAACCTGTTCAGTTAAAGACCCCTAAGTTATAGTCACTCAATTAAAGGTGGGGTAGGTCATTCACTTCGAAACACTTGTTGTATTCCATGGAATGCTCTTAATGTCCCGATAGCAATGAATATATTAAATGCTTTGACAATAAATACATAACAACATTTCATCTGTGGAAGCCGTGGCGCTGTAAAAAGCACGACCAATCATCTGAGCCGGCTAAAGTAACTGGATGGCCTACCTGCCTGTCAGCCTTCCATCTGTGCACAAACTTATCTCGTGTCCTCATTGGTCATGTGCGCGTTCCTGTGTGTTGGAGGAGGGGCTCTGTGAGGAAGTCTGAAGGAAGGGGCAGATTGTTTCCGGTTGTGTACTTTCAGATTCTAGCGCACTCGAGCTGGTTTGTCCATTCTTACCGACCCTACCTTTAATACTATACGATAACACTTTAATGGTGAGATCAAGTCTGAAATGTGACTTTCATCACAGCAGCTCCATGTGTTACATCAACAGACACATATCAAGACACAACACATGAAAAACAAACATTGAACATAACATCAGGATCAGTGAGAGATGCTCAAAGAGCCTTCAGCGTGATCTGGACTCAGCTCTGTGTTCACTGAGAGGACCGACTGGAGCACAAAGGATGCATCAGGCTGACTTTATTCAATTGAATGTAATTAAAGACCCCTACGGTATAGTCACTCAATTAGAGTCAATATTCTATTCAGTTTGCTTCATTGTCATGTCATTTATCGTGTGTTTCCAATATATAAATGACAATTATGAAAGAAAGTTAATGTATTTCGTACACTGCATTTTTTTTTACGCATTTTATTGCAAATAAAACGATGAATATTTAAGATTCTTTAGGTAACAAAAGAACATTATTGATATTCTGTACAAACTGTAAAGTCCACTGAGACAAAGGTAACATTTGTGATATTGGGCTACATAGATAAACATTGATTGATCTACCGATACTAAATATACGTGGTAAATAAAATATCTTAATAGGGATAATGCAAGTTGTACAATTCTCTGAGAAAAAATGGACTGAAAATCGAAAGCAATAAAATCAAATAAATTATATTCTAGAGGATAACATATTTAATAGATAAGTAACACAACTAAGGGGTTTTAAAATGTCATACATTAATAGTAAGCAACGAGTCATTCACACCTCATTCATACAGAGCAGTACCACTAGCTCTAGGGAGCTAACACACACACACACACACACACACACACACACACACACACACACACACACACACAATCAAATACATTCAAACTTTATATATACACATGACATCTCAATAGATACACACACAGACCCAAACCCCTCAATGGATATACACACACACACACACACACACACACACACACACACACACAAAAACACCATTAGTAATTGGGAGCACCTCAGGGTTGAAAGACGACGCCCTCCCAGTGAGACCAGTCAGGAGAGAATTAAAACTTTACCTCAAAGCATATTAACATTGAATTATCAAGAGGTGTGTTTCTGGTCGGCACACATAGAGAGGAATGGACTGTTACCTAGCAACAACAGCTCATGACCACCATCTCACCAGAGTCGACCTCATTTAGAGATAAAAATAATAATACATTTAATTTATATAGCGCTGTTCGAGACACACACTTTACTATTGCTTTATTTTTTTACTATATTTTTTATGTTATTATAGTTTTCTTAAAATAGTTCTCTATCTGTGTTCATAGCTGTTGTTTTACTTTTATATATGCACCTGGATCTGATTTTATATATATTCACACATTTATATATATGTTTATTTATATACTTTAAAAAAAATTGTGTTTTTATTAGTGCTGTCAAAATTATCGCGTTAACGGCGGTAATTAATTTTTTGAATTAATTGCGTTAAAATATTTAACGCATTTAACGCATGTGCAGAATGGCCCGCCCCATACATGCCACCAGTGGCAGCGCCAGGGTATGGCTGGGGTAGGCTACACCCATACCAAGAAATGGCTTAGCCCCACCATGAAAAATGATGTTAAAGGAAGCAAAATAAAGTCTGCCAACTCGCGCGGAGTAAATTGCACAGACAGCAGTTAGTAAGATTGATTTCAGTAGCCACGGTTTTGAAAACTTTTGTCACGTAGTGATCGTCTTCTCAATAGAACATCTTTGATAACGGCGTGGTGTTGTTGCAGGAAGTCCAGACGGAGAATACTTTTGCTGTAGTACAGGGGTGCACATAACTGGTACGCAGGTTATGTGCGTAATCTGAAATGCCTACCGTCACTTGTGTCACAAAGCGCATTTGCGTACCGACGTACTTGTGAAGCTTTTCCAGAAGGCGGTTAGATCACCGGACGACAGAGTCGGTCTCCGTGTGCACAGACAGGGCTGCTGTTAACGTCGGTCTGTACAACGGAATTGTGCCAAAACTACGCCAACCGGCTACAGAGGGAGACTCCCCCCTTCACTGGAGAACTGCGCTAAAACAGCTGATCACAACGTTCACACTCTGTGGTCACGAAGTACTCCACTAGCCAACCCCCCCCCCCCCCCGTCGACTTTCCTGAAGTACTCCCCCGTTGATAGAAATCAACACGTAATGAATTAAGACCCCACGGTTTGATGATTGATAGGTGTGTGTGGGTTGTCTTTCATTTTGACACGCAGAATTTTTTTATAATAAACATAGATACTGTATGTTAAATGGATATATCCGCCATCTTTCATTTATCTTTCCATTCCCACAACAATATGCATAAAGAAATGGCATATTTTGGACATAGTTCGAATGGTGATTAATCATGATTAATTAATTTTTAAGCTGTGATTAATCTGATTAAAAATGTTAATCGTTTGACAGCCCTAGTTTTTATTTATATGTAAATATTTTTATTTTTACTTAAATATAAACATTTTTCTTTTTCTTTTTCGGAATAACCCCTTCACCTCATCTTTCCTCAACAACAGAAACACAATACAACCACAATGAGACAAAACATTTAACAAACAATAAATAATAGAAAAACTCAAGATTTATCAAAAACTAGATCCAAAAAACGAAATCTGAGCAGTAATGTGATTATGAACACCTGTGATTTCCTTCTGTCAATTTATCTTCCTCGAGAAATGGTGTAATGTGCTTTTTAAAGGGGACCTATCATGCAAAATGCCCTTTTTAATGTCCTTTATACATCAACATGTGTCCCCGGTGTGTCGGGGAACTCACGCAGCGTCAGGAAATAAAACCCTCTCTCTTTTCCTCCGTACCCAAATCTCTAAAAACGGAGGTACAACGGAGCTGATCCAGATTTGCGGCCGATTTGACATCAAATCTGCGGCGGACCCACGGCCCTATCAGAAACGTTGCTATCAGAAACAATGGCCGACTGTTTTGGACGTAATATGGTCGGTGTTTACATTAGCATCGCTAACACTCAGAGCTAACCTGTACTGGAGAGCATGTGTGTGAAGAAGCAGGAAGTAAAAAGGAACTCACCTTGTGGTATAACCGGCAAGAGAGAAAGCCTTTGAGCTCCATACTGTTTCAGAGAGAATCCTTGATCTAATAATCCTTGCGTTTCATCACCGCATAAGCTCCGCCCCCTCTTATTTTATTTTTTTCAGTTTAAAACAAAAAAAAGCTTTATTTTTTTTATTTAGCCTTTATTTATACAGGTGAACATCTCATTGAGAAACACCCATGGTCTCATTCTCAAGAGAGACCTGTTTATACCCAGAAGCAGCCCTTTTGAAACAGGAAGTGAAATAGAGGGATATGAGGCATAGAATGGGTGATCTGTTTGGTATTTTGAGCAAAACACTTCATAGACATGTTTTTTATATTTGTTTATATATCTGAAACCTATGCTATTGCCTACAAATAGCATGATAGGTAAAACATAAAATAATGAGTCTTTATTTACTACATGATTAACTTGTTTACCTTCTTCTCGTAGCTCCCAGGATTTGTTTATGCGTGCTACGTCGCCAGCACTTTCTCAGACCAGGAGGACAACTGTAAGTAAATGGACTGTACTTATATACTTATGTACTTATGTACTTATATACTTATATAAGTATGATATGAAACCATTTCTATCATTTATTCTTACATTTGTATTGTACATTTTGATACTACAAAATTATGATTTTCACAACATTTGACAGTTCATTTTGAGGTTGCTTCCTTTGCATCGTTTACACACGTTTTCTTTCTTATTTCAGTCAATTTTATTGGTGATTTTCACCATCCATCCAAACCCTCTCAGCTGTTCTTCTAGTGTAAAAACCTGCAGGTAGGAGTCTGCCGTTTCCTCTGCTTCACATCCATCCCCCTGTCTATATTATACATTCAACACCTCGTACATTGTGTATTTTTTCATATTTTTGTTTAGATTATAAATAACCTCATGAGTAAACGGGGCGAGGAAACCGTGGAGACGACGTTGGAGACTTTCATCGAGAGATTTCGTCGGCCTGGTCGTGAAGAAGAGGATTTTACGTAATTTAAGAAGCAGTTCATGATGTGTTTTTATCTCAGGCTTCAAATCTAATTTTAAATCTACCTCGTGTGTGTGTGTGTGTGTGTGTGTGTGTGTGTGTGTGTGTGTGTGTGTGTGTGTGTGTGTGTGTGTGTGTGTGTGTGTGTGTGTGTGTGTGTGTGTGTGTGTGTGATTTGATTTGATTTGATTTGATAATGTAAATAAGTGGCAGTGTCTTTATAATGTTTTTTAAAATGTGTATAAATTATTAATAATGTGTAATGTTAATTAGAAAATGTGCCCACTTCAACTTGTGTTGTGTTAAATACTGTCATTAAATTCAGTGAAATAACACACACACACACACACACACACACACACACACACACACACACACACACACACACACACACACACACAGATGTATGGTACAGTTTATTATTAAACATTTATAAGAACAGGAAAAGCTGTTTTGTTTCTCTTCTGTTCTGTTGCGCTCTAAACCAGTTTCCCTTCAGGTGTATATGTATTTAATGATTTGTAATGATGTGAATATAATAGAAAAGGAGATCTAGAATAAATAAACCAATTAAAATAAATAAATAAAACAATAATAAATACAAGCAGACATGTACTCAACAGGAAGGTGTGTGGCGCAGTGAATAGTGCGTTGGTGTTGGGATCAGGGGGTCACAGGTTCAAACCCCACTGCAGTCAGCATGTCGTTGTGTCCCTGAGACACTTCACCCCAAAGTGCTCCTGTGGGGATTGCCCACAGTGTTGAGTAAGTAAGTCACTTTGGATACAAGCGTCTAACAAGTGACATCAGGGTTCTTACGGTCATTCAAAACCTGGAAAAGTCATGGAAATTCAAAATGCTAATTCCAGGCCCTGGAAAACAATATTTTTCCCAAAGTTTTGGAGAAGTCATGGAAATGTAACTAAAGTTGCATCAAATATAATTTATATTTTATCTAATCGCCAAAATAGTAATACTATAATGATAATACATACTGTATCGTATAGTAATGAAACGTAAAATGGCATTTAACTGACGAGGTGTTTTGCTGGTGAGAGATTTGAGTTGCTTTAGCGTGTGGAAGCTAGTAAGCCTATTGGATTTGTTTTAGACACAACATGTTTCAGATGCAGACCTTATTTTCCTGTTCCGTGTTCAAATAAACCATTTTCAGTGGAACCGCTGAGAAAGAGTAATATTTTTGGTCATGGAAAATTAGGTAAAGGTCCTGGAGAAGTCCTGGAGAAGTTATTGAAAATCATTGGTGAAAAAGTGTAGGAACCCTGTGTTACGTGTTAACATGTAATGTAATGGTAGAGAGACGTTTTTTTAAGAGTCATCAAAAATATAATTGGGATAAATACATTTGAACAATATAAATTGATTACATGCACTTTGTATTACATCTTTGAGGAAACATAGTAAACATGAATTACTGCTGGGTCTGTTCCACTTCTCAACATAATGGAACAGATTATGGTTAAATAAATACACTTTGTTTAAATAGATTAATAAATAAAAAATGTAATTTTAGGAAAGTTTGGGGCTCTGTTGGAACTGCTACCTCCGCGACCCGACCACGGATAAGCGCGAGAAGATGGATGGATTTTTAGTATTTGTAACTTTACTCTACGAAATGGTACAGAAACCAAAAAGGGATTTTAATAAATACGTTTAAAAAAATAAACTTAAAAAAGGTCATTAATTGTAGATTATTAGGAGTCAATCTCAATTCAGTTTAAACAGATGAAATGTTGTAAAAAAATGTATGAATGTATGTGATTTGTATAAATGTGTATATGTTATAATAGATAGATGAACTCAGACGATTGAGCACAAACATCAGGTATGATTTCTGTGAAATTACAAGATGGGTGGGAAGGGGGAGGGACTATATAGGGAATGTATGGTTATAATAAATGTGTCTTAATCAACCTTAATAATATTAAATAAATAAAAACGACATAAAAAAACAACACTGAGCCTTGAACGGGTCTTTTCTTTTACGTCACTTCCTCCCCTTCAGTCCCCGGATGAAGTTGCCATTGGGGCAAAGTGAGCAGCAGGGCCACCGGAGGAGGATCTTTAATCTCCCGGAGAGTTAACGGGGACCGGAGAGGACTGAAGCCCCGCCGGAGTTCATGAGGACCGGGGACTGGAGAGAGGAGAGCCAGAGACACCGGGGAGAGAAGAAACGGTCCTCCGAGCTGAGAGACCGGATCACTGCTAACGGCTAACGGACTGTTTAAACTGCCATTAACATACACACATACACACACACGCACACACGCACACGCACGCACACACACACACACACACATACACACACACACACACACACACACACACCGCACCACACACACCGCACTACACTTGGTGGGGTAAAGGATGTCTGCCGCCAGTATAGACCCTCAGGTAAGAAAAACCGTTAAGATGTATCCCTCCGCTGAGAGGCGAGGTGTGAGGGGGAGTGTGGCCGGGCTAGGAGGCTCTCAGAGCGGGGAGGTGAGCTGTGAAACTGCCCCCCTCACTGGAGCTTTCCACAGGCCTGGACCACAGCGAACAGTGGGTGGTGGGTTAGAGAAAAGGGACTATTTACACCCAGAGGACAGATATAAACATGTCAGTGTGCAGATAGGTTAATATGTGATGTTTTTGAATTGGTATTTTCTACATTACATTCATATAATACATTAATACACCCATATTTCACCATTATTTATAATAATATGTGATAACAGTCATATATGGGTGTATTATACATCCAAATAGACTGTTATTTCGCCCATAGTACACTGTTATTACACCCATATAACACTAGTATTACATCCCTTTTTACACTGCTATTACACCCTTATTAGACTGTTATTAGACCCATATAAGACTGTTTCCCCGAGGATACAGAAACCATTAGGGTTAGTAATAACATTGATAAAAAAATCTGAAATATAAAGTGCTACACACTGCTGCATTTACCTTAAAATAAGGTCCCAAAATAACATTAATGAATTGCATACAAGGACAATACAGAAAGTATATATAGCATATTGCACATGGCTTGTAAAATAAAACTTAAAATACATAGAAATTCTAAAAAAATAATACATAGAAACTATTATAAAAAAAATACATAGGTTCAAAAGAATAAATGAAATACATAGGCATTTTAATAATTATGTACAAACTCATAGGTGAACGATAACTGTGTATAAGGAATATTTATAAATAGAAAATGAACTACAATGTTTATAATTCATGCTTTTCCTGCACATTTGAAACCATAATGCAGTCGTGCAAATATGCTAGACTAAAAACAACATTACTAATTAAACATGTTTCTTCATACAGAAGTGGATATGAAAACCAAATGCATGTTGCAGCAGCAGTCTCTTATTCTGTGGCACTGTGTCCCTTTTCAATTAGCAGAACACTCCCAGGACAGCAGTGCATTCAGTGGTGTTGTTAATGACAAAATATAAAATATGTATTGCATTTCTTGTGTCTGCTTGTACAGTGCATTATAGACCCATGCATGTGTTGTGTTTTCTCCTTTCACATGCTTTCATCCTCTCATTGTGGCCATGAAGACATCGAAAGGACAAGATGCAAGCAAAGGTAAGAGAAGAGACTCACAATCCTGTATGAACCTCATATCCTCCCTGTGTTAAAATGTCTTATTTAATGCAGTAACGAACATACATCGTCAGCTCATCAATGGAAACACCTTGCACTTTTGAAAAGGTCAAATCTTCCAAAGGTTGTGTTTATCCTGCAGACAGAACAATCTATTTACATCTCTGTACAACACTGAACTCCCCCACACTTCTGTTTCACTCCAAGACTATAACTGCAGCCATAAGAGGAAGAGATGCACGCTAACTAGAGCAGGTTATTAAAGCAGGACTCTGGGATGTACCTCCAGCTGTACGATATGTCAGGATTCACCATCATTAGGTGTGTTTGGGAATCCTGCAGGTGTACATTTCAGTTTTGACTACAGTGTGATTCATTTTGTTGCAGCGTTCCCAGTCTCCGTGCAGAATGGCTCCCTCCACCAGAAGGACACAGTGCACGATAACGACTTTGAGCCGTATCTCACCAACCAGTCAAATCAGGTAGGAAACTGCTTCTGATGTTAAGGCGAGACACGGCAGGCAAAAACATCGTTTTTCAAGTACTGGTCAATTTTGAGATTTTGTGCTATTTTGATTCCATAACATGTTTTCTTTCAGGCTTTTGGAAGGAAAACGTACAAAATCAGGGTGTCCGCGGGTACTTAAAAAGTATTAAAAGTTGATAAATCAATTTAGCGAAAATTAAGGTTATTAAAAAGTATGAAACGGCATTTTCCAAGGTATTAAGAAGGTCCACAGCAACGACAATATGAAACACCCTTTAATTTACTGAAACAACATGTCGGGAAACTCCCTCAAGGTGGCCCCATGCATAGCGTGCCATCAAATCAATCAATCAATCAATGTTTATTTATATAGCCCAATATCACAAATGTTACATTTGTCTCGGTGGACTTTACAGTTTGTACAAAATATCAGTATGACAATACGACACCCTCTGTCCTTAGACCCTCTGTCCTTAGACCCTCTATCCTTAGACCCTCACATCGTACAAGGAAAAACTTCCGAAGAAAACCCACAGTTTAAAGGGAAAATGGGAGAAACCTCAGGGAGAGCAACAGAGGAGGGATCCCTCTCCCAGGACGGACAGACGTGCAATAGATGCCGTGTGTAAATTGAAAAGATAATACATTTGCAGCATAGGTAGTCCAAATGTTTGGAAATGCATGTGTGTATAATAGGAAGATGAATCCACGAGGATATCCATCCAGGACCTATGATCCAGGACCACAGCCACGACTCAAGATCCAGGGCTCGCGATGCAGGACAGAGGAGCGCAGGATCATCCATGACTCCGGATCCCGGCGTATATAGACACCAAAAAGAAAGACATTTGGGGAAGCTGGGTTAATCGGAACATGAGAGTACACAGGTATAGACAGAGAGAAGGAAGAAGTAAGATGTCCCCCGACAAACTAAGCCTATATCAGCAAAACTAGGGGCTGAATCTAATCAGCCCTAACTATAAGCTTTATCAAAAAGGAAGGTCTTAAGCGCACTCTTAAAAACGGATAGGGTGTCTGCCGTCCGAACACAAACTGGAAGCTGATTCCACAAATGTGGAGCTTGATAAGAAAAGGCTCTGGCTCCCATTGTACTTTTAGAGACTCTAGGAACAACCAACAACCCTGCATTCTTGGAACGCAATGCCCTAGTAGGACAGTAGGGTATAATGAGTTCTTTAAGGTAAGATGGCGCCTGCCCATTAAGGGCTTTGTAGGCGAGAAGAATAATTTTAAATTCTATCCTGTGTTATAGGGAGCCAGTGTAAGGCAGCCAGAACAGGAGTAATGTGGTCCCTTTTCCTAACTCTGGTTAGTACAACGAGCTGCAGCATTTTGAATCAGCTGAAGCGACTTGACTGACTTCTTGGTACACCCTGATAATAAAGAGTTACAATAATCCAGCCTTGAAGTAACAAATGCATGGACTAGTTTCTCTGCATCGTTTTTGGAGGCAAGATATGCCTGATTTTTGCAATGTTACGTAGATGGAAGTATGGGCGGTCCTTGAAATTGATTTT